TTTTGGGAGGCGGAACCCCTCCTCTTCTGATTCAGTCGCTGTTTTCTCCAATATTCTGAACCTCGACTCTTTAATTACTGCTTGGAGGCTTCCAACCCCTCACTCCCACTTTACCCAAACAGCCGGGTCATCTCGACGGAACCCAGCTGATTCGTCGCTGCTCACCCCATAAATTGTATTCGCCTTCCTATAATAGCAAGCCCATCGCCAGTCTTCCACGCTTTATTGTCTCGGCTCGCCTACAGGCGGCCTTTTATATTTCCCCCATTTCCCTTTTCCTCATTGCCCAGGTCTTCACCTCTACTTCCTCTTCCCTATCGGCTGTCAGCTTTTCTCGGTCTGTGAAGGAATCCCTGTGGCGGTAGTCGTCGCGAGGCACATCGACTCGCTTGACCATGTCGGTATTTTCGTCCATCAGGAAGGCGCGATCGCACGCGAAGGAGCACAAGAAAATCCAGACAGAGCAAGAGCAGAAGGAGAAGGAGTCTCATGTTCCATACAGACACGTCCCTACCCACGCTGCTAGCGATGCCCTCACCAATGCCCCGCCCAGCTGGAGGGTCGACGACAGAGGGAAGATCGTCGAGCAGAATCGACGAAGAAGCGCCATGGCCGCCAGCGGCATGAACATGAGGATGCCCGGGCCGCCGCCTCGTATCGCCAGCAGCCTTTCTCATGTGTCTTTCCCGGCAGCCAACGCGAATCCAGTTGGCAATTTGCCTAGAACTTACAGCTATACCGGCGTTCCCCCGGCGCCTGGTTGGGGAGACTACGGCTCGGACGCCGTCTACTCGTCCTCGCTGAAAGGGAAAGATGTGGAGAGGCCGACCAGATTCGACTTCGGCCGTACCAGCTCTCTGTCGGGCAAAGGTGAGTCGCTAGCCGCGTTGTGTGGAGTTGACACTCCGCTGTCCCCCGAGAGGGAAAGAAGGAAGAGAGAAGAAGGGGAGAGGGACGGGGAAAATAGAACGGCGGTACCCGTACTAACGCCGCGCGCGCCGTCATTCAAGGTTCCCCGGCCGACAGCTCAGGCGACTCCATCAGCTCGCTAGACGACCTCGAAATGCGACAGGCTTCCCATCGTAACGGTACAAATAGCACCAAAGTTTCGCCCACCTCAAGCATTTCAACAGCACCGACTCGGCCCGCCCACCGCCTGCATCCCAGATCACGGAGAACATCCGACGCCTCTGACCGTGGCGACCCCGCCGCAGCTCGGGCGGCCATAACGACCGCGCACGACCGGAGACCGCCTCCATCCATGATCACACGGGGTTTCAATGCGATGCCAACCGGTGCAACCCGGTCCATACAATTACCCGGGACACTTCCCCGCGCCGAGGCGACTTCCATCTCGTCGGCCGCCACGTCGCCCACATCGAGCCTGCAGAGCAACGCTCCAAATCATCAGCCAACGTTCGCGTCATTCGACTTTGGTTCCGCCCCGTCTTCGGTCACATCATCTGCCCCTACGTCGGCGCCCATCTCATCCAGGTCGTCCACGTTCAGCTCAGCCCCCACGACGCCAGCCGCCATTGTAATCACCGAGGAACCGATCTGGGAGTCTCCGCCCCTACCCTCTCCGACTTCCGATCAGAAAGAAAATATCTCCCAGAAGCAGCAGGAGCAAGAGCAGCAGTCACCTTTGTCGGCGAAACAGAAGGACCATCGGGCCCCCAAGGTCAAGGTCACCCGGTTTACGGAGCTTGAGACAATCGACTCCAACATGGAGCACACCCCACACGTGGGCTCGTCACTGGACGTGACAGCTAGCCCTGCTTCGACGGTCCTTAGCGAATCTGCCCCAGCCAAGCATGAAACCCTCAAGGTGGCGTCGTCAGAGCCATTGCCAACGAAGGTTGCAAAGCGACTGTCAAAGCATAAACCCGGCGGGGGGAAGCTTCAAAAGAAGACGCGCCAACCCCTGATGGGTTCAGCCGTTGCCGTGTCACGAAGATGAGGTTGGTAGATGGAAAAGAGGCGTCTGGTTCATCTGATCGATGAAACGTGACGATTCGCTTGATTTCGTTCCTTTTTCTTGTTTCTCTCTCAACCATTTCACCCTGTTGAGTGACACACTCTTCTTTGCGATATATCCTCTCTACGCTAGATTCTGTACTTCACCCGATCGGGATGACCGGCGTTTCTTTTTTTGGGGACCTTTTACGACCTGGAAATGATAAAACAAAAAACTCCATTCGTTACTACTGGGTAGTTCGGAGCTGGATCGTATAATGGGGTGTCTTCGGCGTCGAACGAAGGAATTGCTGGTCTGTCTTCGTATGCGTGGTTGTTTATCCTGGGAATGAGGAAAAGGCGGGGGAAGGGAAGGAGACGAAGTACGGTGGGGCAGTGGGTTGGATCTCGCCCTGCCATGCCAAGTTGGTAAGGCATGTACGGAGTGCGGAGCAGAAGCGGGAAGGCGATCTAATGGAAGGATGACGGTGAATACCACCCTGGGTAAGGTAGATAAAGAAAGATGAAATAGAGAGTGTTCTAGGCCCCAATAATTACCTCAGTCAGACCCATGTGATGATGCTATAGATACTACGTAGAAATAACCAGGTATGACAAAGGGCTGGCTGTACAGAGGTGCGTCAAAGGTAATATATTGATTATGGATACATGGTCCAGCTTTCTTGCCTTCGTATGTACACACGATACTGCGCCTCAGTGGGTTCCCTCTCCTAATCCGGGGACCGACCTCTGCGTGCATAGGGCGATGTCACCTAAATACATACCCTTTAGATCTACGTTCTACACGTATTGATTTAGATGCGTACCCTGGTACAGAGTAGCCTGACCTGGGTACCTTATGGATGCCTCAGGACGCGAGGAGGGTACGAAGTAATTCTCGGGGTGTACAACGTACACATTTCTTGCACAGTTGTTCTACAACGTCAATCTCGCTCCTAATCTGTTGCCAAGGGCTGACTTGTCTTCTTATTGATTGGATACGAGAGGGCTTTTAGCCGAGCTGTCGCGATTGTGTGAAAGTGAGCCTCGAAGAGGCTGACGGACCTGATATCGTCGAGTATCTCTAGACCGAGTCATGTACTGCGTGGGAAACAGGTGGTCCCTACCTACCTACCCGGGTTTGGCTGGTTATAGGTCAGAGCTCGATGGACTGGTCAGATGTCCGAAGTCTTAGAACATTATGTTGACAGCGATATCTCTGTCCTGGCTCTGGTCAGTGCAAAATTCTCTGTTCGAGCTCTGACCTATACCCACCCCTACCCGGGTAGGTAGGGACCTTAAGAGTGTTCTCACGCGTTGATAGACTGAATGTGCAACCAGCGCGACGTGGAAGTACTTCGTACATATGAGGACGAATAAGGTACTTGGCCATGTTGATATGTTCAAAGGTCGAACAGTGATATGTGTGAAATGTGTGTATATGTAGTGTACGTGTAGTGTGGAAGGAAGAATATCCCAGTCCAAAAGGGTAGTGGAGACTAGATTTAGCCGTCAACAGGTGGTGCCTGCAGGCAACCACGCAACAGATCTTGACAGGAACGGAACCCTGACTAAGATAGTGAAGTGGTCCCTGGTTTACGGAGTAACTTCGCACTTGGTAACCTGGAAGGTATCACCGCCTGGTAGCGATTACTGATCATATTATTTGGGCCTCCATCTTGTGGATGAAGACAGTTCGCAACATTTCCTTTTCTTCCTCCCCCCCACTCATGCGCAGCTACCCACCATCAATTAAGACCTCCTGTGTTTGTGCGAACAGGTGGTTTTAAGATGGCCATCATAGACCACATTGCGCAGGTGCCTTGGCCTGTTCTGGCAGTCTTGGCACTTCTCGTGCTGGTAGCTGGAGCTCACCAAGCTGTAAGCCTTCGGCCCGTTTCCCCTTCTCTTCTTTGCGTTCAAGGCCCCCCTCAGACACCCCATTTGTTAGCTATGTTATCCCCCGTGGATGAACTTAGGCGAGCTGACCGAGAACCTGCTATTGGATAGCTCTTACTGCTGCTTCACAGCATCGCGCCCAAACCCCGTCCGGTCGTTCCATCCGAGAAGACTTACATCACATCATCCCCCGGCTCCGACGTACCCAAGAAGGCCGCTCTTTCGTGCTGGTTCGACCGTTGGCATGCAGAACGCCACGCCTCAGAACAGAAGACACGTCTCACCGACCCGCGCCTTGCCGACGTCATCCCCGACACAGGGTCTATCGAACCGGCCGAAGTCCGGGTAACCGTGGTCATACCCGCCTACAACGAAGAAGACCGTGTCCTGCCGACTCTGGAGGAGGCCGTCGCCTACCTCGATGAGAACTTTGGCCGTCCTTCCACCCCGTCGCCGTCCCTCTCGAAGCCGCGTTCCGTCTCCGCAAACAAGAAGCGCGGGCTGAACCCCGTTACCCCGCGCCGCCACGTTCAACATGCTCCCTCCGAAGCCCTGAACGGCTACGAGATCCTCGTGGTCGACGACGGCAGTAAGGACCGCACTGTCGATGTGTGTCTCGAGTTTTCGCGCCAGCGGGGCTTGCATGATATTCTACGCGTCGTCAAGCTGGAGAAGAACCGCGGCAAGGGAGGCGCCGTCACCCACGGCATGCGCCACGCCCGCGGCGAATATGTTCTCTTCGCCGACGCCGACGGCGCGTCCAAGTTTAGCGACATGGGGAGACTCATTGAGGGATGCGAGGAAGTGGTAGATGGTTCCCACCGCGGCGTTGCCATTGGTAGCCGCGCTCATCTCGTCGGCAGCGAGGCTGTTGTCAAGGTATGTCTTGCCATTTGTCCATCAGTGGGAACCATTTTATTTATATACATACATATATTGACCGATTGTGTTTTTTTCTTTCTTTTTCCAGCGTTCCTTCCTTCGCAACTTCCTCATGCGTTCCTTCCACCTCGTTCTCATGATCCTCACGCCGCCCGCCACCTCGCGCCTCCGCGATACGCAATGCGGCTTCAAGCTCTTCACACGTGCCGCCCTCCCGCACATTGTCCCTTACATGCACGCCGAGGGCTGGATCTTCGATATAGAGATGCTCCTTCTTGCCGAATCGGCGCCCCCTTCCCCGGTTCTCAATGCAGAAGGCGCAGTTATTGGCGCGAGCCCCGGCATCCGCGTTGCCGAGGTGCCCATCGACTGGCACGAGGTCCCGGGATCCAAAATGAGTCTCATTTCCGACAGCATCCGCATGGCCATTGGTCTGGCCGTCCTGCGTGCTAGCTGGATGATGGGTGTTTATCGACGGAGGTTGACATGAGGACGAGAAAAGAAAAGACAGGGGGCGAGCAATACGTTTGGGCAGTGGGAGCGCAGGAACAGAGGGCCTATGGGTGTTCCTCAAGGATAGTTACCCGAGAGCGGGCAGGGCCTGAATTATTGCATAGAGCGAACGGTTATAGATTTCACTGCATTGCGTCTTGGAGTTCTCAGGCATCGCCACCCAGAGGGAAGTGGCACCGGTTAGAGGAAAGGATTGAGCCCTCAGTCATTCACTACATACACACTCATACAAGTTCCGTATATATGCGTCGTATATCAGCTGAGATAACGAAAGAGGGAACCAGAAAGTAACATCCTCGGGAAACAACCCCGAGAAGTAATGAAGATGAAGTGGCACGATGAAGGTATTATAAGGTAAGCTTGGCTTATTCATGATTAGCATTAAGTCTAGATGCATTAAAACGAGATACTCAGAGCAAAAATGACCTGAGAACCACCCATCGGATATCCCATCACACCATTCGCCATCGCTCGATATTCTTTCGGAGAACATGAGGGTTCGCATGTATGCGATTATATGCAGAATATTCCCCTTCTCCGGAAGAAGCTGGCTTGCGTCTTCCACTCCGAAAAAGCCGGGGCGAGAAACATCATGCAGGCATACATGATATGATCCCCACGATACCCTGAAGGTCGGGTTTTCCCAGCTCTCCCTGACAGCGCCATGATAGTACAAAGCCGCAAAGGAAGGGTAAAAAAGGGAAAAAAGAAGAAAAAAAGAAAAAAAAAAGCCTCGCAGCACATGGTGCTCTATTCGCAACCCCTAAGAAAGAAACGACAGCCGCACTTCACCGCAGTTCCCGCCAAAGAAGGGGCAGGAAAACGACGCTGGCCCTCCACAAAATCAAGACGGCATCAATGAGGGCGAGAGGTGCTTTCAGGAAGCTTAGGACGCCCCATCCGCTCATCACGTCCAGGGCATTGAGCCAAAGGGCGAGGAAGGCAACACTGAAGAAGTGGTAAGCAAGGACCCAGGGGCGGCGAATGAGTCCTCCCAAGAGGCAGACGGGTTCGTCGGCGTAGCCACGGCGGAAGTAGTCGAAACAGCCGTTCTGCAGAATGCGCAGGAGGCGGTCGTCGGCGGCGAAGAGCGTGTAGAGGGCTTGCGCGAGGACGTTGATGATGATGCTCAAGTTCTTGCGGCGCCAGTAGAGGGCGGAGAGCGCGGCTTGGACGGCGGCGACGTCGCCCAAGTCGCGAATGCGTTGCGGGTCGAGCAGCTCGGATAGGATGACCACGTCGTTGAAGGCGACGGTCATTCCGCCGCCCGTGAGGGGATGGCGCATGTTCATGGCGTCGCCGAGGATGGCGACGCCGGCCACACGGGGCTGTGGGGAGGGCGGGAGCCACGAGTTGGGCATGGAACGGAGCTTTCCCTCCTCGAGGGCGCGGGCGACGCAGGGTTGGACTTCGGCCGGCAGGGTCGGGATGACGCAGTTGGTTATGTAATTCCGAACACCACCAGCGGCCGGAGACGCCTCGGGTAGCTTGTCGGGGACGTCGATGAGGGCGCGGGTCTCGTGGGTGCCGATTTGGTACATGAGGACTGGGTAGGCCTTGCCGATGATGACGTGACCGAAGCCCGGCTTGGGTAGTGGCGCATCAATGAGTTCGAGGCCGTAAAATTTGGACCGCGCGACAGGCGCCTCGGAGAGGAGCTGCCTGCGGAACTTGGAGTTGTAGCCATCGCAAATGATGGTTAATTGGCCGAAGTAGTAGTCGGCATCTTTCTCGCCCGTTTCCGGATTGGTAGTACGCGCCTTGACCCCGAGGACCTGGTTCGCATCGTCGCCGGTGATGGTGCCTGTCACCTCGGTCTCGACCACCGTGATATTCTCTTGCGCCTGGCATGCGCCTCGGAGGTTCATGATGAAGCGGCCGTGATGAAACGAACAGCCGGTGGGTTGCTTGACGTCGGCTGTGGCCGCAGCGGCGGTGGGCGTCCCCTTTGGTGATGATGATGAGGAGGAGGACACAATCCGACCTTCGTCGTCGACGCCGGGGTAGCGGATAGCGACGGGTTCGCCGTGGAACATGACGTTGTAGCCATAGCAGGGAATGGCGTCGATGCCTTCTATACAGCTCCCCAAGCCCAATTTGCGAAGGGCGGCGATGCCGCCGGGCTGCAGTAGTTCGCCCACGATCCGATCCGGCTCTTTTATAGATTTCTCTAGGAGCAGGACACTCCTGCCTTGTTTCCCCAGTGCATATGCTACTGCACAGCCGAAGATGCCGGCGCCGACGACCACGACGTCTGCTTCATGATATTTAACACGCCTCTCGGTTCGGGCTTCCACGGCTGGGGAAGCCATCGCTGCCGTCGCTGTCGGTGGGAGAGCGGAGAGAGGTGGGAGGAGAGGAAATCGTTATGGAGGTCGGGATAAAGAAAAGGAGGAAGGAGTGGCGATTACGTGTCGGCGAGTGAAGGAAGTCGGAAAGTCAGAGAATGTCGGAAGGAAGATCTGATTTGAAGGAGGTCCTCGAGTTCGTCGGACCAGGAGAAGACGACAAAGCGCCGGTATAGTTGAGACTTCTTATTGTGAGTCTAGGAGAGAAGTGTTGAATTAGAGAGACAGCCCAGGGGCGCTTAAATACAAAGGCATAGGCGACGTCAGGCGGGAGAAAACAGAGACGCAAGAACGAGGGTGTGAAAATAAGGGGAAGAAATATTAGAGGTTCAAGGTTCAATTGCACCGAACGTCAGATGTCCGGGAGTGTTGAAAAGTGGTCTGCTTGTCTGTAAGGGGTCGTTAATTACGACCCCGTTGGATGCCAAAACGAGACGCGTGCAAAATTTAAAGAAGGTCATGCCTGGGACCATACATTCCTGTAGTCGTGCCATGCCGGCTGGCCCCGGTGGGTGTCTCTCCAATCAATCTTCTTGATTTGGGCCCTATTTTCCCGACCCAGGCTCAGTCTTCCAGGGGGGTCGCTTCAGTTTTTAACCCATGTGGCGTTGGTACACTGGATTGATTGTGTCATAAATTACACTGCCCGGGTACAGTGACAGCGTGAGCCACAGTTGGGTAACAGCAGAACGTCAGCGACTATCCGTACTTGGTTCGCAGAACCACACAGTGTAACTGATATCTCGCCGCCCCTCATTCACATGCAAGTCAAGGGACAGCGACGAGTATCCGTACGTCAACTGAAGATAGTCCTTCCCAAGGTACCTTAAGGTAGGGACGAAATTATTCCCTACCTTACCTTAACTTAGGTAATGACCTTATTGGCATACCCGCACTTATACTGTGTGCCTACCTACCTTAGGTACGCATACCATAACGTACCTTACCTACCTTACCTTACATTTGTAAACCAAGATAAGATACTTTTGCGTGCTGACATGTAATTACATATGGTATGGATATCCACATTGTCAAGTGTCTCCGGCGACAACTTCACTCCATGTAATTTACTCCCCATTTCCCAAGACAGTAACAAACAGAGCCTTGGCCAACATTACGTGGCCACCGTGGTATTCATCTTACAGGATCCATCAAATACATATTTCATCCTTCGTCGGATGAGAATCACCAAGCAACAGCTGGTCTCTTTCGATCGCCCAGCTGGCCTTCTCCTCTGACACTCTCCTCAGCGCCTCCTGTACGCACGCCAGCATGGATAGGTCCGATTCTCTGAGATACTCCGCCTTTTCAGCCTGGGACGCTTTGGTCAGGTAATGCACCATCCACTTGAGGCTCGTCCGACACCGCTTCCACGTCCTGTACTCCTGTTTCCCGAGCTGATCCAACATCCACCGGAGCTGCTCGTAGTCGTGCCGTATCGTGAACGCCTGACAGAGGTTCGAGAAGTTGTATACGTTGTAGCACAAGTCCCGGAACCCGTTCTGTTCCGCAGCGAACACGCAGATCGAGATGGCCTCGCGGTAGTTGCGCAGCGCCAGGCACACTTGTGCCGCCTTGTGGAACACGGCGTCCTCGATGCGCAGCCCGTCCTTCCGCAAGTCCTCGAAGATGCGCAGGATGGCCGGGTAGGGGCGCCCTCGCGTCTCTTCCAGATCCGCCGCTTCCCTCTCTTCCATCTCGACCCGCTCCAAGTCCGCTAAGATCAGGGGCACCACGGCCCCGCTGACGTCGTGGCCCTCGATCTGCGCCTTCTGGATGAGCGACATGGCCATTCCGCTCGAGCCCTCGTCGAGGTGGATGCTGGCTTTGACGGCGAGGCAGAGACACCGGGCCGAATATCCCATGCCGTTATGCACCGCTCTCTTGTACGAGCTGAGCACACTCCTCCACTGGCCCTTCTGTGCCTCTAGTTGCATCCGCCCGAAAGCGGTCGGCTCGTCCGACGGCTTTAGCCTCGACGCCATGCGGACTCGGAACAGCCGCGGTGCCTTGTAATTCTTCCCCACTAGTTTCTTGACCAGCTTTTCGGCCTCGGGGAAATCCGTCTCGACATCGAACGCTTTGAGCTCCCTGTAAAGAGATATGATCTGAGAGTCTCCGTAGCCCCACTGTCTCCGGCAAGTCCGCAGGAAGTCTGCCCAAAACGAGGCATCCGGTACGAATCCCGCCTCCTTGCAGAACCCGAACCACTGAGCCAGTGCCCGAGTCTCCCGGCACCGCCCGTGCCGGTCGGCGATGGACCGGACGAGCGAGCGGTCGAGCGTGACCCCGAGATTGCCGATGAAATCTTCCACGAACTCTTCCGTCTCGCCCCACGTGTGATTCTTCCTAAACATTTGAAGCACTCGAGAGAATGCTGCATCGTACTGCTCTTGCTGGACGGGGTCGAACGGCGCCATATTTCGCGCACTCTCAAAGACAGCTCGTACTCTCCGCCAATCCCCCACTGCGGCATACGGGAGAGAGAAAGCACATCTGAGCTCAATGTCCGCTTTACCCTGGGGATACGCGGCACAAAGCTGGAAAAATCTGGACTGCGCCACTGTCATTTTCCCCGCTTCCAAGTCGATCCGAATCATCAAAGATTGTATATCATAAGTGTTCTGAAATCCGTAGAAATCATTGGCCTCCAGCTCCTCGAAGAGGCAGTTGGTTCGCTCGTAGTTCTTAGAACTTTCCCAGCACCGCTGGATGATTTGGATGATTTGGATGAGGGCCGCGCTTTTTGCGTGGAATGCTCGGTCGCCCTGTAGCCAATGCATGGATTGGAATATTTCAAGCGCCCGATACCCGTTTGTGCTGATCACCGAGTGCAGTATGCTGTCGTATTCAAGATCCGGACGATCCGAAAGGTCGGAAGAGTTATGAAACGAGCGGACGAAGGCATCGATGGCCTCGACATGATGACCGCTCCGTTGTAGGTGATCGATGAACCAAATCACCGTCTCGGTCTTGAACTGGCATATTCTTTGGGACAGCTCGAAGAATTCGCTCGCAGCGTCGAAATGACCCAGCACGACATATTTTGTCACCACCTTCCTGGCGAGCGCGGCATATGCTGTCCGGGAATCCTGGTCATCCGGTATATCGGCAAGGAACAGTCGTGCCACAAGGTCGATCTGGTCTTTGGATTCGTTGGCGTCACGGACCGGCCGAAACATCAGGGACCGCATGATCTTAAACGGCCGGTGGGCGGTATAGTCCTCTAGGCGGAGGGGTCCATGCCTGACCAAGATGTCCAGAATCCTCCCAGCGACGTCGTAGTCGCCCTCATGTTGACATGCAAGGCACAGAAGCCGGGAGAGCTCCAAGTACCAGGTTGGGACATCCTCTGCATGCGACACGTCGTCATAGGCGCGGCGCAAGAGCTGCAAGGCCGCAGACGGGGCGGAACGATCCGGCTGCACGACATCCGGGTGAATCTGGAGTTGTCGGAGAGTAGAGTCGACACGCATCTTATCGCGATTTGATGCCCAGAATTCGTCTAGCGCAGCCTTTATCGAAAGTTGAGACGCATTCGCACCACTCTGTGAGGCGTCCACGAATATCTTGGTCCTCGGCAGGCTGTGTTGTGTGAGAGTGAAGTGAGCTTCTGTCCTTTGATCCGAGGACCGAACTGCATATGTATGGGGCGAATCGGAGGTCTGTGAGTTGGACGGTGTTGTTTCTGCATCGCGCTCATTCGGGTGTTTGCGTGTCGAGCCTGAGCGCACGCCTTTTCTCCTGACGGACAGCCTCGGTTGTCGGGGGTCGGGACCAAGATCGAGAACGTCTTCGTCATTCCAATTCGAGTCACTACGACGAAGCGCTTCGGATTCGGGAGAGATAGTATAGCTAGATGTTGAGAGGGACCAGTTCCCGAACGTTGGATCTGTTGCCGCTTCTTCTCGAAGAGCCTCGAGGGTAGCAGCGCCAGCAGAGCTGTAGCGCCGCAGGGATTTCAGCTTTCTCCCATTCTCGACAGCGGACCGCGCAATACTGATTCGTCGACGTCTCTCTTCGGCTAGTAAAACGATGGAACAGGATGTTCCAAATAGGAGACCTCGGAGGGCGCGGATCGCGGCTTTCGAGGGGACAGGAGAGGGCGCTGACATGACGAGAGCCGCTTAGTGACCATATCGGGCCGGGCGGATTTCTCTGAACATCTCGACCTCGGGATGTCGAAGGACGGCTCGGGGAGGGGAGAACAACTGTAGTCGACAGGCCGCGGATCGAAGTCAATTGATGTTAAATAAATGCTGGTAGTCGAGAGAAATCACCAACGTATAGACTTCCCGTCAGAAAATCCTTGGTTTCTCAGTATGTGCCGGTACGTACCTAGCTGGGGCATCGTACGTTTCCCAGAGTGGATATGCTTCGGGTAACGGTCCTTGCATATTCCGTGGCATCCATAGGTCGGTAGAAGGCTTAATCAGCATCTTCTGCGTAATAACTCAGCTACGCGCTCGGGTAGCAATTACTTACTGACGATGGTGACCAAGTCCGACCATCTCAGAAAGCGTGACATAGACATTCATGTCCAGGTACTCTCAAGATGGCAGGCAGAGACCATGGGCGGCAAACTCAGACTGCAGCCATCAACCTGTCGAGGCCTCTTGCAATCCTAAGCGGGTACATTGAAGAAAGAACCGAGCCATGTCCCTGACGAGGATCCGTGAACAGAAGGGGAGATAGATCTATCATCTCCCGTTGCACCAAGCTTGTTGGCATGGCCTCAGTTTGTCTTCGAGAAGCGGGTTTTCTTATTGATTACAGTTCAGACAAGCCTCCTAGAGGCGAAATCTGCTACCGGGTCGCGATATCCTTATACGTGGATTTCACCGGGACATAGGCAAGCCAGACTGCGAGCAACGTCGCTCCTTACAAGCCCCTGGTCGAGAAGTGTCGTGGGCCGTGACTACCTACCTTAGAGACGGGCCTACTTCCAGGCACATGCGCCTTTGCATAAGGTAGTCTACCTACCTACCTACCTAGAGATCATAGGAACTGTCATCTGTTCCTCGTTCCGATATCTCGAAGACGACGTAGAAATTTCCATCATCCACTGAAGGCCTGCCTACCTAACCACCTACCCACCTGGACATCGAGCCGCCAGAAACCAGAAGTAAAAGCCTCCCATTTCCCTCCGAACTGCGCGCCATTGGCCGTAATGACGACTACATATGCCTCACAGCATCACCGCTCACCCCATGGCACCCGTCAAACTGCCGAGGGCACCAGGGCCATGGGCGTTCTGACTGCTATGCCATTCGCCCCGACGCCGAGGAGTCCCCTGGGACGGTATAGGCTTTTGTCACCCACGTCCTCGGTCGGAGTGAGCCCTTTGTGTCTGGGGACGATGCACTTTGGCGATTCCTGGTATGGACATGCTACCGCCCAGCTCTTCGGCCTCTCCCAGGCGGCTTTGGGGTCCCAGGCCACTGATGGTCTTTTTGTAGGAAGGGTGTCATGGAATGCTGCGATCAGAGAACAGCCGAGGATGTTCTAGATTTCTTCTTTGAACAAGTAACCAATCATCCCGTCCCTGTCAAAACCAGCTTCTTTTGTGAAAATCATACTGAACCCCCTCTGGGGTGGAAATTTCATAGACACCTCGAACAACTACCAATGGGAGGGGTCGGAGACGTGGATTGGAGACTGGATGAGCAAGAGAGGCGTACGAGAACAGATGGGTATGGCAATCTTTCGTCCTAGCTGTCCTAGCTGTCCTAGCTGTCCTAGCTGTCCTAGCTCTCCTGATCCCAGTTGCTCATACTACCTGGACTTTGCAGTCATCGCCACCAAGTACTCGACCAACTACATGGGCCGGGTGCCACAGTCAACACATATCATGGCCAACTTCACGGGCAACGGAAGCAAAAACCTTGTCACATCAGTCAAGGCCAGCCTTCACAAGCTGAGAACCGATTACATTGATCTACTCTATGTCCATTGGTGGGACTACTCGACGTCCATCCCTGAACTGATGCAATCGCTCAACAACCTCGTCGTGAGTGGTAAGGTTCTGTATCTTGGAGTCAGCAATACGCCTGCCTGGGCCGTCAGGTCAGTCAGAATAGCCCCCTGGCTCCTGGTCTCGACGAGTGACTCTGGTTTCGACTGACAACCTGAAGCAAAGCGAATGAGTATGCACGAAACCACGGTTTGCGTCAGTTCTCCGTATATCAGGGTTGCTGGTCGGCAGCGTCACGCGACTTCGAGCGCGAAATTATCCCAATGGCTCAGGCGGAAGGTATGGCGTTGGTTCCCTGGGGCGCACTCGGCGGAGGCGCTTTCAAGACGGAAGAGCAACGCCAGTCTCAGAGTGCCCCCAAGGTGGAAATCAGCGAGGCACATATCCAAATCAGCAGAGCTTTGGAAAGGATTTCCAAGCGCAAGGGGACTATAATAACCAGCGTGGCTCTGGCCTATGTAATGCACAAGTGCCCGTACGTCTTCCCCGTCGTTGGAGGGCAGACGGTCCATCACTTAAGGCAGAGCATCGAAGCCTTGAGCCTAGAGCTTACCGACGAAGAATTACGCGAGATTGAGGCCGCTGCTCCTTTCGACATGGGCTTTCCCCACAATTTGCTATGGGGCAGAGGCGGGCTTCCAGCTCAACCGAATGACTTGTGGCTTTTGAAGATGGGAGGACACTTTGACTTTGTGCCACTACCCAAGTCCATAACACCAGCACAAGTGGGGGAATAGCATATTCAGACGAGCAGCACTTTATGGGATGAGCTGGTGATATTCCTCTGAACGACATATCAAAGAATGAAAAAGAACAAGAAGAATCGGGTAAGCTTAGGGCATTGTGTCAAAGGGTCACCTACTGGGCATTAAGACAATTATATCTCAAATTGCTGCAATTGATACGAACCAGTCCACCATCGATATAATATAACCTTCTAGACCGAGAAAAAGCAGTCGATGTTCACCCGCGCACCAATACCTGTCAATGTATTTTATGAACTGTTTGATACCAGTTCTACGGTACCACCCAAGGGGCAAGCAGAGCGAAGATGCGGCAAGAGAAGGTACCTTACCAAAGGTAGGTGATCTAAGGTAAGGCAGTCAGTACCTACCTTACTTAGGTGAGTCAGACAAGGTACCTTACCTTACTCAACTCCTACCCCCCGTACCATCTTTTCCTCTTCTCCCCCACTTCGGGGACAGTGGACTCCAGAGAGGTAGGTACGTGCCAGACAGGCAGAAAGATCGCAGTGGACCCGGAAAAGATATCACTGGCTGAACAAAACAGAGGACTGGGCGAGGGTGTCCAGGCTACCTTAGGCAATGACGCGTCGAGTCTGTGTAAGGCGGTGGTTACTACCTTACTCTCCCAGAATGAAGGCGAGCCAGGGTTTGGTTGGGAAGTGGTCCATCCGGTGTTGCCCCTGGGCACTTCCTTCCCTCTCCCACCCGCGGGAATTTCGTCTACTTTACCAGATACATATGGTTATGGCGTCTTCGTAGTTCCCCATGAGGCGGTGAGCAGTTCTAACTTCTAAGTAGATGAGCACAAACTCAGCTCTAACTGCTAGAGGGCATCGTGGTTTTACTTGTCCCCCGGTCTTCTCTGAAACCGGAATACATGTTCGAATGAATGATCCAATGCTAGAGCCTACTGCAAAGCCCGTCGTCCGCCTTGTCTAGTTCTCATTAGCTCGTTTCTTCAGTGCCCAAGGGCTATCGGTCTCACATATGACAACGGACGAACTAAAAGAAAGGGGAGGCTGGTCCCCACATGGAGGTCTGCCCAAGCTTTCCCGAAGCAAGACGGAATCATTGGCGCATCTCTCTATAGAGAGGTTTCTCGATCAAGGTCCCGATGGCGAGTGGACAGCAAGCAAGCCATGCCCACATGGATGCGTGGCCATGTCCCTCAGAGAGCCGGAAGCTTCCCCTTGGCACAATATCAAAGCTCGTGGTAGGTTTACCAACTCTTCCCAATCGACTGTAACAGCGTCCCTGTTGAGGCAGTCCAATACTCATGAAATGGGGCCCATAGAAAGTCGAGATACTACAGGAATACCTCCACCGCCTGTCAAGTGTAAGCTGAGCTTGGTGACAAAGTCCAAAAAGTTTCAAAGGACGTTCAAGCCGTCCTGACATCATGATGGCTAACAGCGCGGTAGCTCCCAGGGAAATCCAAAGACGACGACTTCCAGTGCCGATTATGCATGAGTCCCGGCGTGCAGGAAACCCCAGGCAACGTGGGAGGCTGGCGCCAATGTCCATTCTGCATCGAGAGGTGCGTTTAGAGGATTTCGAAACACCAGTTGCACCAGTTGATCCAGTCGCACCATTGCCCTTTCGACAGGCGGACCAAGAGCATCTGTGCCGAGATGGCTTCGAAGACTTGGAAGCTGTACCCACGGGAAGAAGCATACCGCTTAAACGAGGACGACGGAAAAAGTACCACGCTATCAGTGGCATGAGGCAGCTTTCGACCACAACTGAGCTGAGAAATCCTGCTGTGGCTGCAAAGCCGAGACGCGGAATGATCGAGATCGACCCAGAATTATACGCGATGGGGAGCAAGCCTTCTCAGCCCATGCCTATAGAGGAACGTGATAATCGGACACCGGGGGATGAGACCGACGGCGAGGTATCTGCCAATGGATCCGTGGTGACCGTGGAGTCAATAACCTCAGATACACCGACAATCAGGCGTAGAGGTCTTGACTGTTCGCGAGCTTGGAGAGACCCTCTGGATTTTGCCATTTATCTTACAGGCGACGTTCCAATGGCATGTATTGCTATATGCGACAACTCTCAGAGGGATGTTAGTGAAGGAGTCGAATCTCAGTTAAATACGCCAGACGAAGAGTACGAACCCGGATCCTACCTGAAAGAGACCCCGGATGATAATGGCAATGATAACCAGGAAGGTGTACGTGACGATGACGATTCAACCTCCTGTCTTAACGACGAAGAGAAGGACTGGACTTCACCGCCAATCTGGGATCTAGCAGAGTATGGCCAACCCAGACGAGGCGAGCTGCTGATGCTGGAAATGAAAAGCATCAAACAAGATGGGCTTGAGCACAGTTTTGATCTCGGCTACAATGCGAGAGCAGGCAACTTCATAGACAGGACTGGAGTGAATTGCGAACACGCCCAGGGAACACCAGCCAGGAAGGACGAATAAAGAACCGAAACCTCCTGTCGACACTGGCCGACAGGGGATGGGCGTAGCTAAGATGAGAACATAAAAAGGGGAAAGGAACTTCAGATCTGAGCCAAAACTGCGAGATGTATCAGTAACAAAGGAACAACGCAACAATACTCCAGTTGAAAGAATGTAGCAGGAAATTTGAAACGGGAGCGAATGGTGTACTGTGTCCAACGGAACAGCTGCTAATCAAGAAGCCTCCTGCTTCAGAAGTCTGACAAGACGGCCTCGGAAATGCCAAGGGATTTCAAGCTGTTGAATTGAGAAGCGTCAGATATCAAACACAGCCGGCGGTCGAATAATTGAGTGGGTGATAACACATCTGGGTACTACTTCTGACATAACAGTAACGGGCCGTCGAGATCCCATGCAGGCCGCATTAATTATATTATCATAGCTGGCAAAGAAGCAGCTATTCTGCAGTGTCGGCGACTCAAGATGCAACAAAAGAATGTCCCTTCATACAACCTGTGCCCTGCAGTAAAACGAAAGTGGCCAGACCTGCCTTGAACGCCTTGCGCCAGCTCGTGGGTCAGACTTCAACCAGGATACCCGTTGTTGTCACATTGAAGTTTATAGGGCTGGAGAAACCCGCATCACTTGGCACCTTTCCCCTTGGCCTCCCCATCGCCCAGCTCCCGGATGAAGATTTTGGTCTTGCCTTCGCCAGAATAATCCTCCACGCCGGTTTCAAAGCCCGGACATACGCCGATGGCGAGGTACTTTCCATCGGCCGAGAATGCCAGTGCGGCAACGTTGTCGGGAAATTTCTGGTATTGTTTCATACGGCGCTTCGCCTCGGCATCCCATAGCGCTACCGTCCCGTCACCTCCCGCGGACGCAAAAGTGCCGTAGACAGGATGAAAGACGAGGGAGTTGACTGGATACACGATGTCGCCGCCACCGCCGTTCTCGTCGGCAGGGGCGGCCTGGCGGTGACACTTGAAGGCGTACTTGCGGGCCTGGGATTCGGCGGAATCTTCGAACCACTCGACGGCAACGCGTCCCTCGATGCTTGAGGTCGCGTAGCCGGCATCGTTGGGCATACAGGAGACGGCACGGGTGAGGAACTTCAGCGACGATTCGCGCTGCTGCCAAGGTTTGACCTCCGCGGGGTTTGGAGAGCCGAAAAGGGACGGGAGCGAGGTCAGGTCGAAGATGTGTACGAGACGTGCCGTCATGGCGACGACGAGTTTGGAGGGACTGGCCGCGAGAGCGTGAGGTTTTCCCGGAAGAGGTATAGTGATATTCGGTGTCGACGGCTCCCGTGTGTTATGGATCTGAAGAGACTGGTCCCAAGATGCGGAGATAAGGAGGGCTGGGAGAAGAGAAGACCTATTGTGAGCAGAAGTGTCTCGGGGGGGCAGAGACGGGGAGTGGAGGCTCACAGTGCTGCGGGCTGTGTACTACACATCTTACCGGCGCACCATGCTTGACGACGGACGTTTTTTCTCCGGTCTCCAAGTCGATTCTGTCTGCTGTTTTAGAAAGCACTCGTTTATAATAGGGTCGCAGGACGCTCTGTACCTATAAACTTGCCAGTCCAGACACGCGCTGTATGCTACATTGTCGGTGGCTCCAAAACACACATCTAGCACCGGTGCTCTATGTTGAAATGTGTTGAGCAAAGTCCCTTGCGCGTCTTCGGAGCCATTGTGTGTGTCATAGAGGTAGACATGCTTGTCCCAGGACGAGGCAAGCAGTCTAGTGGGAGACTGTGGTGCATACGCAACAGCCGTGACGGAGTCGCTGGGAGGCTGTGCCAGTTCATATTGAGAAGCTAGAGGGTTATTGTTAGATAAAATGTCGTGTATATGGTAGACTCCGCAAAGAGCAAGACATACCGGGTGCCATTGTTTTGTCTCGATCGGCTACGCGGAGACAGGTCAAGCTCCAGCACCCTTTCGCAAAATGTTCGTACAATAGCAACAGCTTTTTGTTTACTATTTCGTACCTTCGATTACATCCACCTCGATGGGTCGGAGGGGCACTTAGTCACGTGAGATAAGACATCTCCTGCTTATCTGTGGATCACGGATATTAAGGTACTTTAGGTAATAAGGTAGGTATTAATTACTTCGTAATAATTACCACGTTGACTTCAGCCACAACAAGCCTCACCCCACCATCCGTTCAGTGCCGCAATTTTCCTGGAGCAGACAAAATTGTGACTCTTCAATCCAGCACTTGCCCCTCGAAACCCAAAAAGACTCCGGCAAGAGCATCCACACCAAACAACCGCGCCACCAAATAGTAAAGGAACTTTGCATAAGGTCTTTGATTCCGAGAATCTTTCAAGCGGAAAACATATCGATCATCGACGTCCTTTTTTTTTTTCTGTCAGCGATCGTAACCTGAGCGACCCGCCCTCCTATTCTCACCCCGCCCTCCGAATCCTCCCCTACCACCACCCAGCTCTTCAGCAAGTCGCGATCGCGCGCAAAACCGCCACCATGTCCGAACCAAACTACAGCCATTATAGATACTATGAGAACAAGTATCCCGAAATCGATGAGTTTGTTATGTATGGCACTACCTACTGCATTCCTACCCAAATCGAAAGGCCATGTGCTAATACTTATTTTTTTCCAGGGTCAATGTCAAGCAGGTCCGTCTCCCATGATACGAAGTGGATGCTGCTGCCGATATGACGAGCATGCCACCGTCCTTCCCTTTGTCCTTCACATTGTCGAATATTGGAAACCCTTCTCGTTTCATCCAAAATCTGACCCAATTACAGATTGCCGAGATGGGTGCTTATGTTAAGCTTCTCGAGTACGATAACATTGACGGCATGATCTTGCTTTCAGAGCTCTCCCGACGTAGAATCAGGAGTATTCAGAAGCTTATCCGAGTGGGACGCAACGAGGTTGTGGTCGTTCTTCGTGTGGACAAGGAGAAGGGCTACATCGATCTCAGCAAGCGGCGAGTCTCCCCCGAGGATATTGTCAAATGCGAGGAGCGATACAACAAGGGCAAGATTGTCCATTCCATCATGCGCCACGTCGCAGAGAAAACCCTTACCCCCATCGACCAGCTGTACGAGACCATAGCATGGCCGCTCAACAAGAAGTTCGGCCATGCCATTGATGCTTTCAAGCTATCCATCACGTAAGCATTCTCTTGGGCAGTTTACAGTCACTGGGGCCATGCGCTTATTTTTCTCGCTCCTAGCAACCCCGACGTATGGCAGGACGTTACCTTTCCGAATAACGCCGTCGCGGAAGAGCTGAAGTCGTACATTGGAAAGCGCTTGACTCCGCAGCCCACAAAGGTTCGCGCCGACGTCGAAGTGACCTGCTTCGGATACGAAGGGATCGATGCCATCAAGACTGCCCTACGAACCGCCGAGGCAAGAAACACCGAGGAAACCCAAGTGAAGGTCAGGCTCGTTTCGCCGCCTCTCTATGTCCTCACTAGCACCTGTTTGGACAAGAGCCACGGCATTACCCGCCTGGAGGAGGCGATCGTGGACATTCGAACGAGCATCGAGCAGGCTGGCGGCCAACTCGTCGTCAAGATGGAGCCCAAGGCGGTGACGGAGAGCGATGATGCTGAGCTACAAGCTCTGATGGAGAAGAGGGAACGTGAGAATGCCGAAGTTAGCGGCGATGAGAGCGTCAGTGGAAGCGACGACGAGATTCCGGATACTATTTAAAGATCTGGCTTAGACGGGAAGGACGGCTTCTCAACGTAGCCTGCGAGGGTTTCTGAAGCTGGAGTTGTGATAATCGCTGCACTGCGAGGGGTCAGTACTCGGACCGGGAGGGTTGATGCTCGGTAGATGGGATTGTCGGGCACTTGCGGCGGACGATTCGCATTCCGGTGACTGACGCATCAGTGCGTCGAAGGAACAAAGCACTGGCAAGGGCAAGGTATTTATATTACTCTGCACCTAGTTTCTAGGCCGATTAGACAACGGATGTGACCATGAAATAATTTGTCTTAGGCAGTGCTTTGATCGACCTTGTGTGACGTGCTCCGTTCCGTACTACGCACCGTATGAACGGTTCGGCGGGTTTGGATTTTATGTGGTCATGGTCTAGATAAGATAAGGATCGAGTGGGTCGATGGTCCCCTAACCCGCCGTGCAGGTAAGGTACCTTACAAAGTGGGCTTTCTAAGTTTTCTTGCTGTGTTGTGGTCATCATGCATCCCAGCATCTACATTGGCGATGCTCGATGTACGGATTCCCTAACCAAATCGCTTGCCCATGGCTTTGAGCTCAATATGGAGGCGAGGGGGATGGCAGAGGGCCTTCTTTGGTGATTTGACAGTCCGCCTGTTCGGCTTCGCGAGCTGGATTCCTCTCATCATCTGGGTACGCTACAATGTAGCCGACATATCCAACATACACGGCCCGTCCATGTTCCCCTTCCTCAACGAGGACATCGACACTTCCTGGAAGCGGGACGTAGTCCTCAATTGGAAGTGGGACTGCAAGCAGAATCTGCACAGAGGCATGGTCGTTACCTTCAGGTCGGTGGAAGACGAACCTGCCCTCTCCCTTAGCCCTGTCCTCCAACAGCTAGCTGCACGCTGCATCCGCGATACTAGTCCGGACAGACAAGCTGACTCTTCGCGTGGAAAACCGCGCGCTTTGTTTAGGAGCCCATATAGCCCGGAAACCGTTGTTGTGAAGAGAATCATTGCCCTCGAGGGTGACTTGGTGCGGACGAGGCCGCCATACCCTGATCCTGTGGTGAAGGTGCCGCAAGGTCACGTCTGGGTGGAGGGGGACGGACCCGAAGGCAAGAGCATTGACAGCAACACGTACGGGCCGATCGCGATCCAGCTGATCACCGGAAGGGTCACCCACATCTTGTACCCATGGCGCAAGTTCGGTAGTGTGAAGTGGTGGGAGTATAAGCCACGGCCATGGCTTCCTTCTAGCAGGGACTTTGAGGCAACATAAGACACGGTTATGTTCAACATTGGCGCCAGCACTCTTCATATAAATTCCTAAGCAGCCTTGTGATCTCCGTAGATTAATCGCGGAACAGAGTGGTTAGCTATTTCAGCCAAGGACGGAGAACTCGGAGCTCTCGGGATATTCGGTGCTCGGTAGAACTTGTCCAAGTCAACGGAGGACTTGGCTTGGTGTCAATTCAGGGGTACTTGCTGAGTACCATACGTGATTTGCCTGAGAGGACCTACGTACATACCTTACAGATACGGATAGGTTATCTCGTCAATGCACAGACCACCGCTTGCCCTGAGTCGTGGATGGATGTGCAGATGATGTACCTTGGTAGCTTTGGCTAGTACTCGGTAGTTCTTTTTTTTTCTTTCTTTTTTTCCTCTTGCCTTCAATTTGTCTCTGATACCGATTCCCGGAAGCCCTCAACGCGAACCTCCCCAACATCGCACCCGTGCCTTGCTCTCGCTTTCATTTTTTCAGGTGCCCGGCGTATACATTGATCTTAGTCGTTTCGGCGAACTCGTTCCCAACCCCCTCTCTTTGAAGAGTCTTCCCCGGCCCTCCGGAGCTGCGGGTCCATGTCATTCGCTGATCGCCTCGCCGGATTCTTTTCCCTTACACCTGCGGTATCGTCTTCGGAATCGGTCACGACGCGGAATACGGCCACCAGCACATCGTTGGCTTATCGAGGTGATAGTCATGGTGTTGTTGGGGCGGAGTTTGTCACGGACATTGGATTCAGCGGGCACTCGACCTCGACCAGCCAGGCCATGGGGCTTGAAGCAGACCTCGGCGAGGAAAGCCGCCCGCCCTACATCCACGTATGGAATTTTCCTTCGGCTGCGATCCCTGCGAATGTTGTCCTCTTAGCATCTGACACTACACTGGCAGGCGATGATCGCCGGAGGCATAGGAGGCTCGACTGGCGACATGTTGATGCACTCCCTCGACACCGTTAAGACCCGGCAGCAGGGCGATCCGCACTTTCCGCCGAAATACGTTAATTTGGGCTCCTCATACTACAAGATATGGAGGCAAGAAGGAATTGGGAGGGGTCTTTACGGAGGCTGGCTACCGGCACTAGGGGGTTCATTTCCCGGCACGATGCTCTTCTTCGGGACGTACGAATGGAGCAAACGATTCCTCATCGACCACGGGCTCCAACAGCACTTGGCGTATCTATCTGCGGGTGGGTTTACACAAAATCTGATGCATGCGTTTTCTTGCTTAATGCGCCGCACTAACTGCTGGGGTATGGCTAGGCTTGCTCGGAGACTTCGCTGCGTCGGTTGTGTACGTCCCATCTGAGGTCCTCAAGACGCGAATGCAGCTACAGGGCCGATACAACAACCCATTCTTCGAGTCCGGCTACAATTACAGAGGAACTATGGACGCCGCTAGGACCATTGTTCGTCAGGAGGGCCCGTCAGCGCTCTTTTACGGCTACAAGGCTACCCTCTATCGCGACCTACCATTCTCGGCTTTACAGTTCATGTTCTGGGAACAGTTCCTGGCCTGGGCTCAGGAGTACAAAGAGAGTAGGGATGTCGGCATGCCCTTCGAACTGCTCACTGGGGGCCTCGCGGGCGGCCTGGCTGGCGTCATGACGTGCCCCCTAGACGTCGTCAAGACAAGGCTACAGACGCAAGTCAATACAACCAATGGAACGGCGGATCAAGGCAAAACGACGACAGCCAAGGCCGCCAGTCCAAGTCCACAAAAGCGCAACATTTCCACTTCGTCTCCGTCAACACACACCCCGCGCCCGGGTGCCGTTAACTTGCAAACGTCATCGGTCATGAGAGGTCTCAAGGTGATCTATCAGACAGAGGGAGTGGGTGGTTGGTTTAGAGGGGTGGGCCCACGCGGTGTCTGGACTTTCATCCAGAGCGGGTGCATGCTTTTCCTATATCAGAGGTTATTGCGGCAATTGGAGGTGTGGATGCCGCTTACGGAAAAGGAGCGTGCTCTGTGATATTACTGAGGGGCTTTGAGATGCATGGAGCAGAGGCATCAAGTGTACAACATAGCCGGTCGATTCCCTGTACAGCGTATGATGAGGTGTTAACCTATGCGATAGGCTAATAGGTTGACGGTCAAGCGACCATTTGGGTCGGCGTTTGGGATACATAGGAGTGGACGCATCACTGGTAGATAGAATCCGGTCCTGATAGAGCGACAAGATGCAATCTCACTTTGTATTGATATGAGAATCTCAATGTTTAATATTTCATCAGATATGGCTTGCTCAATTCCATCATTTCGGACGCGTATCCGTACACGCGTGTATTACAATCATGTTTGCGACAAAAAAGAAGAAAAAAAAAAAAAGGGGGG